CATAACAATTTGTTGGACATTGTAAAAATTTTTTTATAATTTATTGAATCTTTGTTTATTTTATATGCATTTTCAAAGCACATAATGTATATTATAAATATACGTTTAGGTTAGATTACATTTTTTTAATAATACATTAAATCAATTATAATATTTATAACGCGTTTACAAAGTTAATTAACCATATTTGACTTTACTAAAATAATTAATTTCTAACAAGACCTTTGTCACAAAGGTGTCACAATAACATGGATTTATTATGTCAACTTCAGATTCTCATGATTTGAATACTTTATTATGTGCTTATCATTTCGTTTTAGCTTTGACGAAATATATTGTACAATACAATAATATGTATTAAATATGTATTGTTGTTATAGTCGTCAGTGAATCAGATTTTTGATGATCAGACATACTGTGGTTATTAATGATTATATTACAATACTCGTGAATATGTATGAAATGAAACTTGAGTTTAAGAGTTTGAAAACGGTTTAGTTGACGTAAGTATACTAATATCTTCAATAAACTTAGCGGAGAAAAGATATAGGTATATGTTAACACAGAAAAGCACGCAGTGTATTGAGTAACAGTGAATTACCGACTGCGATTTTTGGTGGACCCTTTCGAGGTCCAAGTTTCGCCACATCGTTTCTATGTGTATACAAACATAAACATAAATAACAACATAAACAATATTATTATTATTATACTTTACAGACCAGTCGTAAATTTTAAGTGGTTATACGGTTTGTCGTGGTCGGAGATACGCGATTGTGTCCGATGCACGGATATTGCGAGATATCCGTAAAAATGTGCTTATCTGTAAAACGCACAGTCGCAACCACACAGGGAGGGTCTTCTACATCACCCCTACCTACAATACCCACCCCTTCAACCCCACTACCCTTATGCTACTACAAACCGATCCCCACGCGCGTGGAAATCACACACTAGACGCTTAAACGGCCCCTCGGGCTGGATTCGGATGGTAAACCGCTGTCGTATGACGTCGACGTTCAAATACATAATATATAGGAAGCTGGAAGGTACGTGTACACTACTGCAGGTTACCAGCTATATCTATGACGACTTGTATTACTACGACCGGGTGATTATCCATAATATATTGCTATGCAAGTTATGTTTCCGTACAATTACCTAAACGGAGTTCTTATAGTCTTTAAAATCGGTAATATATTTTTAGTGGTTAGTGTAAAGACTAATATGACATAATTTCAACTTTTGATATCGTTCGAATTATTCCAATGTCCTATCAAAAAACGGGTTTAATATTTATATTTAATTTTCTCTTTCTAATTCAATCAACCGACTACGTCGTTTAAAACGCCATTGGCCAAAAGACCTATCAAATAATTAACTTTAACCGATGATTTCTGAATATTGAAGTAATGTTACTGAACATAACCTTTTATTAAGTTATCATATTCATATTATAGATTTATACAATTTAAATATCTATAAACAATGTATGCAGATTGTAAATATTTTTTGATAAAAAATAAAATAAATAATATCAACTGAATATACACATATTAAAAATTTGTTGTCGTATAATTAGTATTGATTTACTAAAAAATTAAATTACAATTGTTTTCAAATCAAAGTTGTTCCTTTATTAAATAAAAATATTAGTTCATGAAACTTAAGAACCAATAATACAGCTGCTTTCGACAGAATTGGATTTATATAATACATCGTAGTACATTGTTTATTATTCCCAAACGATATTATCGGTATAACGGACATATTTCTTTGTTTACCATACGAATATAATATTTTAGTTTGTACAATATACGTATTGTGTTTTATAAAAAAAAAATTATTATATTATATTAAGGAGTGCGGTTTAACTTTGATTTTCTTTCACCTCCTAAGACCGATATAATATTATTATATTTTATTATATATACGTACAAATATGTGTGCTCAATTCGATGAAACGAAAATTAATTATTGTCACGTTCTGCCGATTATTTTAGTCAAGATATATTTATAAAATCATATAATACACCATATATCTAATGTCCTAATGTCATTATTATTATTGTTTTAACGTCGTGTTTGTCTCGTTGCAGCAAACATCGAATATATTATAATACATAGGTATAAGTACACTTGTATATTAAGTTCACATAGACAATACTGAATACAAAATATATTAATTTACGTGTAGTTCATAGTCATCGATGTAATTATCATTCGTACTCTACCAACGTTCCAATTTCGAACAATATTTTTTTAATGCCATAACGTTTTGTACTCTTAGTCGTATGTGTGATTGTAGACAATGTAAACGTAATGTTAAATAATTAAATCGGACGTTCCAAATCTGTCTTTACGAATATATTATATAGGTACAATTCAATAGCGAACTGGCAATCGGAAAAACAAAAAGAACTACGTTTAGTATACGAAACGCGACAAAAAAAAAAAATAAAAATTATAATAATAATTATTGCTAAATGTAATTTTCACAGTTTAATCGGTTTGAAGGATATTATATCAAATATTATGCCTGTATTGAAGTATTTAAATATATAATATAGACGAGAAATAAAAAATAAAGAAAACAATAGAGATCCTTATAATTTTTTTTAAGACCGACAGAATAATATGTATTACAGATGTAGTCACACAAGTTAGGTATAAATAACAATGTTATTACAAAAAATAAATTTAAAAAAATGAAAATTTTGAATAATTGTCTTATTATAATACAATATTTTACGTTAGAAGATAATACAATATTTTATGTTGGAGGTGTATAATAGTTTAGTGTCAGCATGCAACATAAAAGTGCATACTCGTAAATGTGTAATGCAATTATATCGTTTATATTCCGAAGGACACGTATAAAGCAAATGTATAAAAAGTCCCTGGGGAAGGGTTTGTGGCACATTCAACGGGTAAACGACTCGGCAGTTGTTGTAAGTCTACTCACACACATAATATATACCACGTGCATATAGATAAGTGAATGCGTTTTCATCGAGAATCGTCGTCGTGCTATACCGGGGCTCTGTCAGTGCCTCCGAGTCTAAATCTATATGTATATATATATATTATATCGTCTACTAAAGTGTAAAAAGGAGGGCGAGCGGGCGCGGAGTTTCCTGGTCGTGCGTGGCGTGTCTCCGCAATTAATTTCGTATTCCCCGAGTACACACGTCTCCGGCATACACGACCGCGACCGCGACAACCATGTGGGGTGACGTCATTTATCCATACAATCGATATTTGTGCGTATGCCCGAGGCTCAAAACCCCTTTTCTGCGCTAAGTTTTTTTGACAAGCTCGACAACAACACGAGAGAGTACGTATCAGACTGTATATACATACATTGCAGGGTAGAGAGAAGAGACCCGACAAGGATTATATAGCTGTGGCGGCGTCGTCCACCGACGGCTTGACAGTCGGGATCGAAGGGGGAGTGAGGGGGTAAAGAAGGGGGCGGGCAAAAAAAAAAATAAAATAGAAAATAGAAAACAATAAACCCCTGATGCTAAACGCGAAAACCAAATTCGGTTTTAAAAAGGGTCACGTTCGAAGGGCAGCCCACCCTAATTTCGGTGTATACGATTTCTTTGTGCGGCGTCGCATAGACATATACTGACACACGTATACTGCATATATATACATAGTGCGTACGTCGGCGGCGGGGGCGAACGGCGGTGTATTATAGTGTGTATATTATAACTTATTATTATATATGTATAGTTTATAGCAGACAGCGTTCCCGAAATAGTCGATTAAAAAATAATGCTGGAATCATGAGTAGAATTCAATTTTGAATTTTTGACCGTCTATACGTTGGGAAAATGGAAAACAAATAATATGATATTATTATATATTAAAGCTAGTGTGCATAGAACGTCGTTATGTATAATGGACCACCATCGCCGAACCCCTCGCGACCATACTTATGTTATACGCTATTATCTCGTTATTTCTTATTCCATATCATATTATAATAATAAACTATTGTATTACGAGAAAGTTGTTGACTTATTTTTCTTTACCCGTTTTTATCCATAGGTGGTACGTGTAGCCCTTACACAACAGCTCGCGTACGGTCTATAGCCTGTATTATACTATTATGTGAGTGTTTGCTTGGTCACAAATATGAAATAATGCACGTGCACAATAATAATGTATATAAATTATATAATACTCGCGAAATTCTTTTATCCGAGTCGCCCGGTTCTATTATAAATATGGTCTTAGAAAATTCAGCTACCACGTTTGTATCGTCTACACCTGTATGATGGCGCGCGCACTTATACAGTTATACGAGGAGTAAATAATGTGGAGAAAACTAGCCGACTCCCGTTTCCATTGCACAAACACACAAATACACACGCAAACATAATAATACATGAAGGGAGAAATACGCCATAAATTCACGGTACTTCAGGTACCTCCTGGTTCATAGGTATACCTATAAATAAATGTAAACGGCCGAATAACGTATAATATTATAACAGAAAAACGAAAAACGCGTCATATTTCGTTTCGTATTTAATGCTAAAACAATAAATCATTTAAAAAAACGCACATGTACTTTATGTTACTACGACCACGGCGAGCAGTGGTTTTAATTTTTTTTGGAAACCATAAAAAATAAATTAAATCACGAGGGTCAAATGTACCTATTATTATTTGCCATTAATATTATTATGATTTACGATGACTTATAAATATTATAACAACTAAACGTAACATTTACGATATTATTATTAAATAGTTATTGTATGTCGGTTAAAATATAAGCATACATTTATAGGTATACAGTATACAATTTATTCTGCGGGAAGGGGGTCCATCAATAGCTGGTACGTATATAATTATTTGGATAAAACATGATATCGATAGCGGTTTCCGCGTGAATACAACACCATATGTTATGCATTAATACTACCCATATGACGTATTTTATTTATGTGCAGTTGCTCTAATATAAAAAAAAGTTGACTTACTTCATAGGAGTTGGCCACTGAGTGTCGATCTTGTTTTAGTTGCTCAAATTTGGATTTGTATTGAAGCAAAGATCGTACGGTTTCTTCCATTCTGTAAAAAAAAAAGAAAATAATAATAATAATAATATTGTAAACTATATTATATACTTATACAATATATACATATATATATATATAAATATCAAAATCCATAAAATATTGATAAGAGAACACGGGTTTGAAAAGTTTATAATTTTTTCGATCTATGTATTATATATAATATTATAAATATACATATATGTATTATACACGGTCAAATAATATATAATATATTATATACGGCGTAGCGGATAAAATGGAAAATGCCCGATGGAAGTGTTTTTCACACAGACTTCGGCGCGGTATCGGGGGTATATATATTGTTTACAACCTCGACGAAATCGTTGGAGGAGAAAATTGAGAAGAAATTGAAAACGCATAAAAAAAAAAAACCAACCCGTAACGTTATATTATATACAGTGGCGATGCTGCGAGTGAAAAATAAAAGTACGGGATGACTATGGGAATACATAATAATATAATATATTATATATATAAAATCGTCTGGTTATAAGCGCATGCATATAATATACAAGCGTTATTTATTAAAACGATCTCGGGGTGGCGGTATCGTATACGCATATACATGTATTATATTAAATTTATATATCTATACGCGTGGTACAGCCAGCTCCGACGTTGGACGTGGGTACGCGATGATCGTGTTTATTTTTTTCGAGGGAAACGTAAAAATGTGCGGCATAGTGAATATAATGCGCATAATGATTATATTATTATATAATATACGATCGCTGCCGACGACTCTTATAATTTAAGAGGGGTGGATGAGAAAAAATAAGAAGTCTAAAAAAAATACTATTTTATTTTTCGCACCCTAGCACAATATTATTTAATAACAATGATAAAATTTTACTGGTTTGCTCAGCTGCAAGTCTGCAAGAGGTGACTTCGTGAATTCGACTCTAATATAAACATATTATAAACATTTATCGACCGCTTTTCATAGGTAAGTAAATTATATGATATATATATACGTGTTATGTCGTGCGAAGATTTGAGTGCATTTCCGCGTATGGATTCACATCATACAATAATAAGTATATTATCGAAAACCATTTCACAACAATATAAAAGTCAAAAGAGCATTTGCGCCATCGGTTATTACTTATTATAAATCACGCCCAACCATACAGAGAGATACGGGACTTAATTGAAAATATTCAATTAAAATGTATTATAATATAATAATAAAATATTCACGTCGCGATAATTCGATACATGCTTTGGAGACGAGGGCGCTGCCACTGCCTTAGCAAACGGCTCATTAAAATCTGTGAGTCATGTTTTTGCAAATCCCCTCGTTGCACGTCGTAACACCGCTTATTATCGTATAATTATATTTACTGTCATACATGCAATCACACTCACACACACACACACACACACACACATTACATTTCAGTATTGTGCACATAAGTATAAATCATTAACGACTCGCCGGTGTGTAATGTTTGATTATTATTATTATTACTTTAAAAGACAAGTCATTTTATTTATTTTTTATTTTCGCGAAACCAAAAACTGAACGTGTGTATGCACGCATACGGTTGACTTGCATTTTATTATATATAGCTATATATAACTATTATAATAATATTCGTCGTTAGAGTTTTTTATTGTGTCTCCGTATATTTAGACAAATATCTTTGAAATTTAAAAAAATTTAAAAAAAAAAAATGTATATTCGTACAGTAGTGTAAAATATTTAATATTTGTTCACTACAACCAATATAAAATATTAAACAATTTGTTTTAATTTCTATTCAAATATTTTTCATATTATATTTTAATAGGTAGGTACTATTATCGGCATCGAAATGACAATGACATAAATAATCATTGTTTCTACGATTTGACAGATGAATTAATAAAATTGATATACCTAACAATAATGGCATATTATAACATATATAATATCGATTTCAAATACTTCACATAAATTTGTATGAAAATCAATTCACTAACTTATTGTAGTATATAGTTATAAAAGGGATCGTAATTTATTTTAAAAAATAGCTGAGAATTTATAGATATAGGATTATATAATACTCAAAAAATATTTATAAGTTTTTTAAACATGCACTACAATTATTTCATAAACAGGTAATATACGAAAATTGAATTTTAAATTAAATATATTATATAAGTATAGATTAAAATCAAAACATTTTAAATTATTCTTATTTTTAATAAAAAATAAATGTTAAGGCTTCATGCTTCTTAAAAAAATATAAATCGCAAATGGTTGATTACCTTTCAACTATTAACTATTAATGGTACGATAATTATCTATAATATATAAATAAAAAACATTAAAACACATCAATTGATTGTTAAATAACAATAATTATATCAACTTTTATATAATATTTTCTTAAATTTATTAACTTTTTTTGTTGAAAAATATCAATAAGAGACATAAAATAAGTAATAATAATTACAATGGCATAACTTTTATTTATAAACAAACAATATTCGAAATTATTTAATTTTGCATTTATACCGTAATATCAATTTAATACTAAAGGTTCACTTTATAGACAAATACGATTTAAATGATTTCTTCACGTGCATAGTTTACGAACGCTCTGGTGGCGGTCTGATGATTACGCTCGCGCCTTAAGACGTAACTAAAGAATATGTAATAATTGCAGTAATAATATATACGTATTAAAGATACACCCGTTTTCTGCGATTTACGATTTTTATTATTATCGTCATCATAATAATTATCTCCATTGACGATGTTGCTTTATAACTATGATTATTATTATACGGTCTGTAAAAGCGTGTACCTTAATAATTTATTATTGTTCATAATATAATAATAATGTCAATGATAGCGTTAATTATTGCTTATTATAATCAAATTTGTGATGGGTATACATAGACCACGCTAAAGTATAAAAGTAACTACTACCTATCTACCTAATACGCGAAAGTATCAAATAGAGTGCATATTATTAAATAATTATGCATTCGAAAATTATAGTCACGCCTCGGGAAAAATCCAATTTAATGATCGAACGTAAATATAGAACCGTTTTTTATGCTTTTTAAATATACCACAGTCGTCATTACTACACGTTATGTTATACTTATATTACGATACAAATAAATTATAATGCATTAATATTTTTCATTTAATAGGTATATGCAGTTTAATTCTAACGTTGGCCTTAAAAACAACAAATATTCACCAATAGTAGTATAAAATTAAAATCAATTACGATTATTATTATAATAATTATAGGGGGCGTTGGGAGACAAGTATAATATATATGTGTGTGTAATTAAGAAATAGTGTAATTTACCTCAATTGATAAAAAATAATACATTTTTAATGAAATTTAAATCGACATAATAATATATTTATATATTATACAATATAATGAAGGCGTTTGAAAGAAATAATCTCGAGGCGCGACGTCTCTTCTACCCAAAAGAGGCCTCTTCAAATTACACGCTTGAGTTTTTTGACTAAGAAACTACATTCGAACTTTGGTTTTTAAAAGTTTTTACTTTCGACGGTTTTTATTCAACATTCTAGTACATTTTAAGAGTGTATAGAACTCTGAACTTTTATGTGTATATATTGATGGATTTGTTCCATTGTTTGAAAAGTCTTTCTGGTTTCACAATATAGATATTCGACTTAGAGATAAAAAAAAAACAATACTCACAAAACAAGTTTAAGGAAATAATATATATTTTTTTTTCATTAAAATACGAGATCCATAATTCATATAAAATATATACGATATAACATTTTTCATGTGAGTATATAACATACTGCTAAAAATAAAATATAAAAAAAATTAAAAATTATGGTTCATAGATAACATATTATATACATTTTTTCCTCATTATTATAAAATAAATTCATGTACTGGATTTTTGTTTGTTTAAATTTTTGATTATTATTTGGTGTTTAGTGTAAATATTTTTGATTTGTGAAATCAATTTCTCTTAAATGTATAAATCTATCAATAAATAACATTATTTAATCCGTGTACGGTATACCGAAGTATAGGTATAAAGTTTATAATACTATAAACTTCATACCATTAATAATAATATATAACATACGATTTTAACATAAAATAAGTTTTAGAAAATTATATTATATATTGTCTAAACAATTTGAACTGTTGTGGATAACTTGAAGAAATTCGGGTTTATAAGTTTTATAAGTTTTAAACCTCCATAAAGCTGGTCCAAATTAACGAAGCGGCATGTACGAGTATAATATGAGAAATTTTAATTTTAATAAATTAACGTTTTAACACAATCTAAATAGTTATTGAAAGTCCGGAGATCTTTGATCAATGACTGTATTATTTTCATGCATGTACATAATAATAATACGTGAGCGATATGAAATTTATTTTATCATCGAATATAAAAATAATAAGATGGACTAAGGTGTACTTTCCATAGCTTGTGTATCTATATATATCTATATATGCATATCGTTGGGGAGACTTTTCTTGTTGGATTAATAATAGTCTAGAAGCTTTTACAAAAAAATAAACAACTGTATATATTATAATATACAAATTTGGATTTATAGGAGGTGTTTGAGTGCAATAGCTCTCCCCCACCCATTGATCCGTCGTGCATATGTCTTTGTCATAACAAAAAGTACATTTTAAGGGTTTTATGTTTTTTAAATAAATAAAACTAAAGAAATAAAAATCACTTTTAATTTATGGTTCATTGTTGTTGTTGTCTTTCATTACCCAAGTATAAGCATTATGTAAAAACAAAAAGGCCATTAGATTAGATGAGTGTTATTGGCTTAGTGAATCTCGTACACAAAATATATTAAATGATAAAAAAAAAATTAATGTGTGAGTGTAGACTTTTCGCAACTGTCTATAATTCTATATAGCGGTTCAAATTTGTTTTTTTTTTTTTTTAAATAAACAAAAGATGTATCCAAAAATGGAACAACACATAAAAATAATAATATTATTATAATATATATAA